TTGACCCTCCTTTCATCAAGATTTAGGGTCCATGTCCCCTCTCCTCAAATATGGGAGGGCTCTGTGTCTTTTTAGAACATGGCAGGAAAAATGCTAAACTGATATCCAAGCCCAGGCTTAAGAGACTGGCAGCTCTGGACTGGGCTCACGCCTGTAATCCCAATACTTTGAGAGGTCAAGGTAGGAGGATCGTTTGAACCCAGGAGTTCAAGACTGGCCTGGGCAACATAGCAAGATTTTGTCTCTACAGAAAATTAAAAAATAAGAAATTAGCCATGCCTGGTGGCATGCACCTGTAATCCCAGCTGTTTGGGGAGGCTGGGCTGGGAGGATCACTTCTGCCCAGGCATTTGAGGCTACAATGAGTTATGATGGTACCCACTGTACTCAGACTGGGCAACAGAGTGAGATCCTATCTCAAAAGAAAAAAAGAGAGAGAGACTGGCAGCTTCCACTTCCTCTCCTAGAACACTCACTCGAGGAGTTCTGAGTTGTCATGTAAGAAGTACAACCACCTTAGGAGAAAAGCCATCTGCAGAGGCCCAGAGAGCACAAGGAGAGGGAGGATCCCCTGAGCCTGGCCTTCCAACCTTCCAAGCACGTGTGCATAGCCATCTTGGACCCTCAGGACTAGACCAGCCAACAGATGAATACCAATAAATCACCTCCATCAATGCCACATGGAGCAGAAGAATCACCCAGCTGAGCCCTGCTTGATGAGCCCACAGAACCATAAGATGTAATGGTCGATTGCTGTTTAAGTCACTGATGTTTACAGTGGTTTCTTACTCAGCAACCATTATCCGGAACAATCTGTGGCTTTTTCAGGAAATGAAAGAAGTACATCTCTTTCCTGCCCTGGCATCAGGAATAGAGTTCCCTTCCCTGATGCTGCACTGGTGGTGTGCTATCAGCCATGATCTTCCCCAGCTGTCAGCTGTTAAGGGTACCTCCTTTGCTTAGAGCTGGCACTAAAACATGAATGTATCTGTGTTCAGAAAAGGGGAGGTACACAGTATGATCATCATCATCCCAGCCAGAGAAGTTAGGGTTGTCTGCTTGGAAACCCTCCTAGAATTTTCTGAGTTAGGAGAGGGCAGGTTTCAAAATTCTGAAGAAACATGGTTCACAGTCAAAATATGACTGGGGGCTGAGAGCAGTGGCTCACACTTGTAACCCCAGTACTTTGGGAGGCTGAGGCAAGAGGCTCGCTTGAGGCCTGGAGTTGAAGACCAGCCTGGGCAGCATACTAAGACCTCATCTGTACAAAATAATGAACAAAAATTGCTGAGTATGGTGGCATGTGCCTGTAGTCCCAGCTACTCAGGCAGCTAGGTGGGAGGACCACTTGAGTGCAGGAGGCTGAGGCTGCATAAGATTATGCCACTGCACTCCAACCTGGGCAACAGAGTAAAACCCTGTCTCAAAAAAAGATTGGTTCCCAGATACCAAGGTCAAAGAAACCACAAGAAAATAAAACTACAGGCCTGGTGGTGGCTCATGCCTGTAAACCGAGCACTTTGGGAGGTCAAGGCAAGCGAATCACATGAGACCAGGAGTTCGAGACCAGCCTGGCCAACATGGCAAAACCCTGTCTTTACTAAAAATACAAAAAGTAGCTGGGCATGATGGCGCATGTCTGTAATCCCAGGTACTGGGGAGGCTGAGGTTGCAGTGAGACAAGATGGCGCCACTGCACTCCAGCCTAGGTGACAAAGGAAGACTCTGTCTCAAAAATGAAAAGAAAACTGTACGGACTAATATTCCTAATGAACACAGACACAAGAAGCTTCAACAAAACAGCCGCAAACTCAATCCAACAATATATTAAAAGGATTATATACCATGACAAAGTGAGATTTATCCCAGGAATGCAAGGGTGATTCAACATACAAAAAAAAAAATCAATATAATACACTACATTAATAAAACAATAAAAAAAAAGATCATCTCAGAAGATGCACAAAAAAGCATTTGACAAAATTCGACAACCTTTCATTAAAAGAAAAAGTGGCCGGGTGCGGTGGCTCAAGCCTGTAATCCCAGCACTTTGGGAGGCCAAGGCGGGTGGATCACAAGGTCAAGAGATCGAGACCATCCTGGTCAACATGGTGAAACCCCATCTCTACTAAA